AAAAGCAAGTCGTTGTTGAACCATGGTATGCCATTGTCGATGCGGGTTCTTTACTTTTTTCAGAATTCTCATACACCCTTCGGATATTGTAAAAAGTCTTTGTCGTTGAGGTATGAAATGTTGAGTTTATAGAATCCCTTACCCTGATCCGACTTCTTTCGGAAGGAGAATACTGCCATACACATAGCATGATCAAGGTCTGGAAAATGACTTCTGGGTATGATACAAGTGAATTGAAGTTCTCCTTGAAGGTCTTCCGAGACTAACATAAGATCGATCCTGAATTTAGTAGGTTTATTGGAGTACCTTCTGGTGAAGCAAGATAAAGTTTTGCTGGTAGGGTTTAATCTCGTGAAGGAATCAAAGAGGTTGTAGGAATTACATAAATTGGATATGATTTGTTCATCAGTTTCTATATAGGGAGGACACGGGGAAAAAATGTTTCATCTATCTAGGTTACGATCGGGTGCTGCGTTGAAGTCCCCTGCCATTATAACTTGGATACGCACCAGAAGACGGGGTAATAAGGATTCGAAAAAAGTCCGACGATCCCCCATCTCGTTGGGTCCGTATACATTCAATATAACGACCACCTCTAATTCCAGCATTGCCAGTATATATATCCATCTTCCTTCATGTTGGTCAGCTTTCCAATTAAGTACTACTTTTGAACTTGGTGGGACTCATATAGCCACACTTGCGCTTCCAGTTTTTGGAGTGTGTGCCCAGTATGCATCATGGGCCCATATCTCTTTATGATTGTGGTTATGGGTTGTTGTGTTCATTAAGTCTGGCTCCTGAATACAGATCACATCTGGCCATTCTTTACCGCCTACCCCTTTGAGGAGTTCTAGTATGGCTTGGCGCTTTGTACACTTGGCAGAAGCAAAGCCGTTAACATTTAGGGATCTGAGATCCAAGTCTGCATTTCTTTTGAGGAGTCTCCAATTTTTGTTTGTTATAGTGAAGGTCTATTAGGTTCACTTCCTCTGACTTATTACCCATCTCACTTCAGTTCTTTCCAGTTTGCAGTATCTAGAATCCCGCCTTTCTTGAGGGAAGCCTGCCGTATCGATCTGAGAAGAACGGTGATAACATCCTCCTCGAACAAAAACTGATTAGGCTTGATTTTAAGAATTTGTAAGTCTTTGATAGCTTCTGTATTCATCCATTTCAGGTAGGGAGTATCAGAGACTCAGTGAGTCTGTGTTTTACATATATGTTGCGATCTGCTATTCTCTCAGGACCTGATAAGTTGCGATAACAGCATGAGGGAGGGCCAACCAGCTGCCAAAAATTGTTCTTTTATTAAATTAAGAGCATCAAATTTAATTGTGGTTGAGTCAGTCCCATGCAGAGTGACCTCACCATACCGTGATGGGTAAACCACTGAAAGTCCAGCTTCCCACTCACCATCCTTGAAATTGACTGGAAGGAGTACCGTACCTGGCTTAGATAGGAAGGATTGTTCGGCCGCCAGAGAGAGGCGTGCTCTCAACTTTTGACTTTTGCTAATGGAGTCTGTCGTTGTTGTGACTATTACCGGACTGTGAGATTTTTTTTAAATTTTATTTATTTTTTATTTTTTTTTTCCCCCACCTCGTGACTCTCTTGATTTTCCGTGGGCTCTTTATACCCAGTCTGAGAATCCTGAGAATCCTGAGAATCCTGAGAATCCTGAGTTTCTTTGGCAAGTTCTATTGCCTCGTCTTCTGTAAACTTGGGATTCGTACTAACTTTGCTCGCTATATCTCCTCCTTTTTTTTTTCTTTTTTTTTTTTAAACAACCGTCTGAACTGCTAGGGATGGTGGTGAGAGCATCCACCACTAGCAGCCCAGCTACTGGCTCCATTCTATTGGTGGGGAGCTGCACCTGCTGGAAACCGGGTCCAGCGTCCCTTAATACATATAAGTCCTCCTGCCGTACCCTCTTTCCCAGACTCATATGTACGAGGATAAGAGATAGGAGCATTATCATCTTCTAATAGAGAGGATTTTCTACTCTTTTGGTCTGTGTCCGTTACCCCTACCTGGAGATATTTCTTTTCCCCTGTGATCGGGGAGACGATTTCTACCATCTTTGGTTCCGAGTAGATCTTGTTCGGGGGTGATCCTTGGGAACAGTCCTTTTTGCCCCTAGGGCGCTTTGAAAGGTCTGCTTCATTAGGTTCCGGACAGGCTTGGTATTCCCAGGAGATCTGGGAGGGAGTACTCTCGATCGAATCCCCCCTTGCAAGATGGGGTTCACTTTGCAGACTGTATCCGTGCGAACGGATGGTTATTCTCCTGTCTGGTGAGTCAGAGGTACCTGACTGAGAATCCTGACGGCTCAGTCCTACTACATCTGAGCAAGGAACCCTCATTTGGGCCGTCGTGACTCATGATCACCATTTGAGCAACTGTGAGTTTTACCTGCTCCGATTCATCCCTCAGCAGTAATGCGTCTTTCCTTAAAAACTCTGGAGAATCCTCCCTATGCTGTTCTGTCTGCCATAGATTGTCACTAAGAAGATTGGACTGTGGATCGGACGTGGCTGGCATCTTTGGGCAATGAGTACATCACGAATCAGAAG